CTCTCTACAATTGGTAATTTCTTCCACTTGACAAATAATTGAGTTGTCAGCCATGTACATACCCAATGTCATGGATCTAAGGGTAGGAGAGATACAGGAAGCATGAGACAAGGTCCTCAAAGAGCATTCCTGTCATGGGAGAAAATAAATGCGCAAGGAGAACATAAAATATGAAGATAGACTGTGATCCCAATGGCTTTACCAACATCTCTCATCCCATGTGCTACCACGAGATGTGACCTTAATGCTCCCTCCTCAACTGGAATCTGTATCTCTGCCCCATAACCTATTTTATCAACAGAACGCAGACAACATGACCCTGTGCAGATGACATGACCCTGTAAAACTCAGAAGGCCAGGCCTTAAGAGCTTCCTCCTTTCTGCTTAGAAAGCCAACCAGCAGACCAAGACGGCCACCATGCTGGGAGGAAATCCAAGCTAGCCCTTGGCAAAGCTACGTGGAGGACCAAAAGGCACCAGCTGCATGAGTGAAGCCTTCTAGGACCTTCCGGTCCAGACACAGATGAATGCAGTCAAAGGAATCATCACCTCATCCAACAGCATGGACCAGCAAAGCCCTGCCTGAATTCCTGACCCACAAATGATGAGCAAACTAAACGGAGATTGTTCCAAGCCACTGAATCTTCAGGTGGTTTGTGATGCAGTAATAGACAAATGAAACCAACTTGAAGCCAGGAAGCCAAGGATTCATCCTGGTTCTGTTTTATACAGCTACTTGACCTGGGGTCAGTGACTTCCCTCTGGGCCTCAATTTCCTCATTTGTAAAAGGAAAATGTTTTACTAGATGGGCTAAGGTGTTTTCCACTGACAGTCTGAATCATATATGCAGTCAGTGAACAGTCTCAGGGTCAGGACTATAGAGCAGCCCAGGATCAAAGTGACTATATCAGGAGTAGGTGAAAGAGCCACAGACCAGGGATGAAAGCTCTGAAGAGTAAGGATTAAATGAAGCAGCAGCTAGAATCCATAGCACATAGTAAGTGCTCAATAAATATTTACCATGACATGATACTCATCACTTCTGTGACTTTGGACAAGTTAATCTCTCTGATCCTCAATTTTCTAACCTGAAAAATAGAGATAAAAGTATTGTCCCCACTTCCACAAGAAAAAGTCCTTGTGAGAGTTCCATACAAATCCATAATCATCTATACACACAAGCTATAACTATATTATTAACATTAGCCTTTGTAGCATGGTCATTAGAAGCCTCTTTCTCAACAAGCAAGTAAAGACAGCCTGGTGACAGCACTGGTCACCCAGAAGGTAGGTTCTGAGGCCCACATGCATGGACCTCCAGTCCAGAGACAGCACTAGCCAGTGAGTCGGGCACCTCACAAAACATGGGAAGCAGCTCTGAGCCCACAGCATTAACATTTGAGGGTCAGGGATTTAGCTCAGTGGTTTTGCCGCTTGCCCTGCAAACACAAGGGCCAAAGTTCAATCCCTGGTACCAAAAAAAAAAAAAAAATTAATGTTTTCCTACATCACAGAGCTATTAGCTAGCAACCTAAGGATAACCTACCAGAGAGCTACAGATCAAACACTACCCAGGATAAAGAATATGAATACTCCATTAGGAATACTGAATAAAGTTAGCGCTGGATTTAGGAGTCTGAAGCCAAAGCTCTAGATTTAAATCCTAGCTTTATCACGCAGAGGTGGGAGCACCGGGGCAGGTAACAAAGACCTCCCTAGGCCTATGTCCCGTTTTATAAACAGACACAGGGAGACTCATTTTGTAAGGAAGTGAGAATCAAGTGAGGTATTGCACATGAGAAACATCTAGGATTCTGCTTTACTGTTACATAATTTTTTTTTTTTTTTTTTTTTTTTTTTTTTTTTTGGTACTGGAGAGTAAACCCAGGGCCTTTGCACTGAGCTACATACCAGCCCTTCCTTATTTATTTAAAAGACAGGGTCTCTGTAAATTGTTAAGTTGCCCAAGCTGAATTCAAATTTGCAGTCCTCCTACCTCAGGCTCCCAGACTGCTGGAATCACAGGCATGTAGACAATGCCTGGCTCATGCGTGTTTTTGTTTAAGTGCACAGAACCTCTGCCACTGAGATGCTCTTCAATCCTAACTCTAAACTTTTCAGTCTCTGCAAAACCCTCAAAATGACAGACATACATCTAAAGAATCACTCCACTCAGTGTTGATTCTGAAAAACTGCCAACCTTGGAAGAGGAAGTTTTGGGCTCATTTTCTAAATGTACCTGACAAGGCAACAATAGGTTTGCATTTTACAGCCTGTGCTTTCCTAAAATAAGCAAAGACTTGTGGTGTGGACTTAACTCTGAAAACCCAGTAACTGGGCAGTCCCACAAACACTGTTCTACAGGGATGTGGATACCAGCCAAATAATATACTTTTGGGGTACATACAAGACAGGAAAGCTATTCCTTCCACCTTGACTCAGATCTTGGCTGACATGACATTTGAATGTGCCAGTATCCAGGAGAATTTCAAAAAGCTACGAATTTGGATGCAGTCCTCAAAGTCAGTCTTTGCCCAAGAAAGCACCACCCTGCCCTCATATGTACCCTTACCCTTGTTTCTCTTCTTCGCCTTTCTCAAAGCAAAACCCCTGGTCCGCTGTGTCTCAGATCTAATATTGGGAATGCAGCTTAGAACAACGGTGGCTTCTCCTCTTCTTATTGATCACTACTGTCTGTGAATACAGGGAAATTACTATAGGAACTACATCCCACAGCTCCCAGACATTTGCTTAGCAAAGGTACTGCATGTTTGGCAAAGGGAAAAGGAGAGTAAGATACACCAAGTTAAAGGCAAACTTCAAGCCCAGTATTTCTCAGCCTGGTTGTGATCAACTGCATTAAATCGCCTGGAATGCTTTTAAAGGTGTACATTCCTGCCTGGCACAGGGACACACACCTGTAATCCCAGCACTCGGGAAGCTGAGGCAAAAGAATCACAAATCTGAGGCCAGTTTAATGAGGCCCTGCCTCAAAATAAAGAGTACAAGGGCCTAGAGGTGTAAATCAGTGGTAGAGCACCTGCCTAGCACATGCAAGTCTTGGAGTCAATCTCAGGGAGGCGGGGCAAAACGAAAAGAAAAAGGTGCACATTCCTGGACTCTCCCTAGAGGTATTGTTGAATTAGAATGGGAGCTAGGTGAAAACTGGGTTTTTAATGACCTTCCTTGGGGTCCTTAGGAATACTAGTTTTTGACAACTAGTGGAGACAAAATGCAGAGGACTGTGAGGGAAAAAAAAGATCTAAAGACACATTAATCTCCTTTCTTGCCATTATTGTTATAAATCAGAGGATTGGTGAACTAAACAACACAAAAGCCAATTTTCCATTTTATGTGCAATGGTTCCTCAAGTTATGACTGGCTTGACAAATAAACAACTTGAGTCAATAAGGTTAATGAAAGATTCATCTGCCTCTTGTTATCTACAGTGCATACCCGGATAAACAACCAGATCTCAGTTGTATTGACTTACAACCAAACTCTTCCCCAGGAACCAACTGAGTTTGTAAGTCAAGGGTCCATTGTAGGGCCCAAATGAAATCATGACTATGAAGAAAACTTGTACTTTAACATAAAAACTCCACTCACCAAAGCAGCAAAAACAGATAAAAATGAACTCGAACATCCCATCTTAGACCAACCAGATCTATTCTGAGGGTTGAGAAAAGTGAGATTATATCTTGGCTGCAGCCCCAGTCTGGTCCCGGCTGTACCCAGTAACAGCTCTGCATTCCACAGCAGGGTCCAAGTCTAAGGGCTGGGGGCGGGTAATCTCCACTGGTTCTAGTGAAATAGGGTTGGGGAAAAGTTGTTAACGGGGGAAAATTAAGACTCCCCAACACATATTTCCACGAGAAGGAAAAGAAGCCTAGAGGTAGCTGACCTCACCGGGCACAATCAGACACTCGACAAATGTTTTGTGACTCGAAGCAACAAGACACCTGATGGAATAATTCTGTGCAAGACACTAACCCCTGCATGTACACAGCCATGAAAGAGAAAAAGGGAACAAAGCAAAATTGTCTCTTCATCAAAAGTATGGTTTTCAAAACCAGCAAGACCCAACCTATGGGAGGGTACAATTTTTTTTCACTTCGTAACAGGTGCACAATAGGGGCTGAGCATCCCTGAGTGTTTAAGTCACCTGGGAGGTCAAGTGGCAAAAAGAAAAAACAGAGCCCTTTATCCACAGAAAAGATGATGGGCAGTGGGGACCTCCATTGAAATTTCACAAACCAGAAGCCCTGCAAGGCAGAGCACCAGCCTTAATCAAATCCAATGGGCAGGTACACAGCCACCTCCCTCGGTCCTCAAGGATGGACCTTTCTTTGGCCTCCAGCTAAATTCTTCAGCAGCAGATGCTGAAACTTAACATTGCCCCACAAAACTAGCAAACAGGCAGCTTTCGTCCCCAGCCTGCTCACTACCCTCCCATCAAGGACTGGCCCGTACAAAGGTGTGGTGGCAAATCAGACATTTAGGAAGTGACTTTAACACCCGGATCTGGTTACCTGGAATTTTCAAAAACAAAAACAAAAACACCTCTATTCCTTTCCTCAATAGGAAGCAGGCATTCTCCTCTTAAAAGCACCTCTCCCAAGGGAAACCAGCAGGTAAATAACACCAGAGCTTCCTCCAACTGATCCCAAAGAACCAGGTGTCCAGGCTGCGCTCATTCATGGGCTTCTCCCGGGAAGGAGGGCTTGGGAAGTAACTCAATCCAGACCTACGCGGGCAGAGATGGGGGAGTCTGCAGGTGGGAGGAGGGGGGAAAGCAACGCCGCTCAAACTTTGCAGTTGCTCTTCAGTTCTGGGCAGGAGTCCGGAAAATTGTACCCTGAGGAGGGGGAGTCGCCCTCCCTAAAAGAAAGGGCCCCAGATGGCCTAACCCACCTGCTCTGCGACCCGCTGGCTGGGCAGCGAATCCACCCAGCCAGGCCCCCTCCCGGGGAGTGCCACGCGGGACTCCCCTTCTCACCTTGGCCTCGAAACAGATCCCGTGCTGGAAAGCGTCCTCGTTGTGCAAAGGGATCCGCAGGTCGTGCCCATCGTCCACAAGGTTGTACTTGGTTTTGCTGGGCATGGTGCCCCGCGGTGGACCCGCTCCTCCAGAGGCTGCAGGAAGGGGCGGGCGAGACCCCGGAGAGGGAAGCCCGGAGCCAGGCGGGGCCAGTCGGCGGGCAATGAGGGGACGTTGGGTGGGCAG